TCTTCCGCTCGGGCTTTGGACGGATAACGCTGAAGACTAGAAATCCTTTCGCGGAAGAGCCGCGGAAGCACCTTAGACGAAAATGTCCGCGGAAGAGCCCCGTGGAAGCACGGCGTCGGAAAACCTGCCAGTAGTCTTAGCGGAGGTTTCGCGGAAGGTCCGCTCAAGCTCGCGGGCGGAAGCTTTATTTCTTCAATTGAATTTCTACACCTATTTTTTCAACGGCTCATATGAGGCGGCATGCAGGGAAAGCCGAATTTTAGACCATTTCGGGAGCAAGCATTTCGGAAACAGCCCACATACATCCCCCTAGTAATATGCCCTGGGGGGGAGTTACTCTCCGCCCTGCTTATTCTTGGAGTCTTCCAGGTCTATTTTGGTGAGAATGAGGGCGGGTCATAGAGATGAGCCCCGTTTGTGTCCAGCAATAATAATTCATAGTGGTGATAGTGGTAATAATTATCGTGATATTAACAAGAATGACGATAAATAGTAGTAGTAACAGTAATAGTATAATAGTAATAGCAAAATAGTACTAGTGAAAGCAAGGCTAGCAAAATCAATAACGAAAAAGGATCATAGCTAGTAATTTTCATAGTAATAATGCTAGTAGTAATCATAGTAATAGTACTCTAGTAATCATGATCATGATAGGAATGTTATTAGTATTAGTAATAATAGCAATAATAGTAATAATCGTAATAATAATACTAGTAGTAATAATAATAGTAATAGGAGTAGCAGTAGCAGTGGAAGGGTGGCGCTGGTTGGCAAAGCCTGCTCGGCTTTGCGTGGCGCATGTGAGAGTGGTCCAACACCCCCCACTATCTCCCACTACCCTCTTAAGGGGGGAAAGGGTTGTAGTAGTGGGTTTAGGGTTTAGAGGTTTGGGGCTTAGGGTTGAGGGGTAGTGGGGGTAGTGTATCTGCACCTTACACTTGGCTATGCCTCCAGGCCAGCGTGATTGCTGCCATTGAACAAGGCGGCGACAAGTACGCATCCTAGAACACAGTCACAAATTCTGCCATACATCCTCTTGCAAGCGCCCAGACATGGAATTGAAGTGCGTGTCGCGCATTTGCCCGCGCAAGGTGCGGAGCTCAGCTGCAAACATTGTCTGCAAACTTGTGATCCTGAGAGAGCAGCCAGGTGTCCAAATGCCGGGTCACTTTGTTGCCATCGATAGGACTGATGCGAACCAGTCTGCATGGTGCGTCATTATTTGTGAAGACTATGCCAGTAACTATGCTGGCACGGAGTACACACAACTACTCATCATGCAAATATGCCTGCAGCTGCTCTGCACGTAGGATGCGCTTACATGCGCTTACCTTTTTCAATGATAGCTGCCAGTAGTTGTGTGTGAGTGTGTGTTCTTGTGGAGCGTCCAAAGGAACAAAGGTCGGTAGCCCCGACCGCGATGGGTGGCACTCTTCGCCCACAGCCAGCTATTGATGTTTCACGAAGCTTTCTACTTCGGATTTGCTTTGCTATGCTTTGCTGCGCGGATAGGGTACCAACATTTTTAGAATCAAACCTTGTATACAATGTCCACGTCCTGTGGAAGATGTGGAAGTGGCTCTGGAGAAGTTGAGCAGCAACACGCTATGGGTGTGCGTTCTTTCAGGCATATGTAGCACATGGTCCAGAGGGATTTCTACGTGTGCGTTGCGCATTGTGTCTGCCAGGCTTAGTCATGCTACTAGCAGGATTGTCTGCAGGACAAAGCAAGCCGTCGTCTTGGGGATCCGTGGCACAACCACCTTATCTGATGCCTTGACTGACGCAGTCGGTGAAGCAACAAAGGCAAGCACGTCCATGCCTTCACAAGCATTTTTGTTGCAATTTGGGTATTCTGAGAGGTTCCGGAATGCCCTGGACTGCATGCCCACAAGGCGATGCTTGCCCCGGCCTCTGGTGAATGGATTGCGCAACCATTTCTTGACGTGATGATCGCTGTTCACTACGTACTGGTACCAGGCCAGTGCGCGAGCCGTTCTCGAGCGCACGCGGCCCGCTCTGAACGAAGCCCTCAGAGAAAATCCAGGTGCAGTGTCTCTCTGTCCCAGTAGAAAGGTAGCAAAGGATGGCTGCTATGCTCCGCTCTACAGGCTACAGCTTGGTCGTCACTGGGCACAGTCTGGGAGCTGGCACAGCCATCCTTTGCACAGTCCTCCTCAGCGCTGGCCTCCCAGTCTCTCAGAGTGCCTTCAGGCGCATACGGCATGTACAACCACCCAGGTTGCACAGCTTGATTCTCGACCCCGCCTGACATGTTTTGCTTTCGCGCCACCGCCGGTGGTTGGACCTTTGAGCACCCGAAGCTTGAGTGCTGCTTGGCATTGTATGGGGCTATTGCCGCTCAGCATTTTGCACTGTTCGCTCTGGTGCGAAACCATTGCAGCGAGACCGACTCTGCAAAACCAAGCTTGAGCTGAGCTATGTTGAGCTCAACTGGCGAAAATTCCCTGGCATAATCTGATGCAACGGGAGGGAAGTTCAGAAAAAAGATCAGATTGACACCTGCTAGCTGTCCAAGTCCATGGCTATGGACTCTCAGATTTTTTTGAGCACGAGCAAACTCAAGTGCAAGAGAAGCAATTTCACCTGTACTTTACTAGCTTCCATACTATTGCCGTATCTATCGAACACAGCTGCCTAATGACAGAGCCTTTTTGCCATGGGCCCTGTGAGGATTGAAGGCAAAAGTTCAAGGGCTCACTTTGACTTTTCACAAAAAAGTCAACGCAAAACGTATCACCGTGCCTCCATAGTTGCACGCGTGTGCTCCTTGCAAAGCTCGGAGCCGGCCTGGCCTGCAATCCCAACATGTGTTCAATGTCCAAAAGCCCAAACTCTGATGAAACCTTAAACCCCTAGCCAGCAATCCTCAAAGCTGCTCTGAGTGTTGTACCATGCTCCCCCGAACCCCAAAAGGCGCATAAAGCGCCCGATGATTCATTCCGGTGACTATATAATTTGGGAATATACAGATATATATATATATAGGTGCTTTTTGTTTATTCTTTTTGTTTCTTTTTTTGGTCCTCCGGTCCCTTGGTTCTCTGCCCCGGCGGTCCTCTGTCCCCGGAGTCCTGACTAGACCCCAACCCTAAAAGCCCTAAACCCTAATTAGTCTTGAAAGCCCGAGCCCTAACCCTAAAATCCCTACGTAAATCCAAAATAACCTAAAGAATTTATTAGTATTAGTATTACTACATATTACTACTATTTTTCTAAAAAAAACACTAGTGTTGGTAATAATGCAACCATCACTATTACTATTACTCATACTCTTACGATTATTCGCATTATTATAGTTTCTATTGGTACTGTTCTTATCATTGTTGTTATTACTATGACTATGATTCTATTCTTATTATCAATATTTTTTGTTATTACTGGAATTGTTAATATTACTATTCGGACTTCTGTTTTACCTTGCTGTCTCTATTGCTAGTCCTGCTACTGTTTTTATTGCGATTCTTGTTTTTTCCTGTTCCCATTACTCTTGATATTTTCTAGTACTACTACTCAAGCTCTCGTGTGGAGCGTCTTCACATTCCGCCGCGAAATTGTGCTCTCGGTTGGAGCGTCCTCAAACTTGTGCTCAAAATCAAACAAGCTCCAGCGTGGAGCATCCGCACATTTTGCCTGGAAATCCAGCTCTCGCGTGGAGCGTCCTGCTATTCCCGGGCCCCCAAACGTTAAGACCACGTTCCCCCCAAAAGAAAACAATCACATACAGTTGATTGATTCCGGGCCTTTCCAACATTGTAAAACACCCGCACATTAAGTGCAACAACCGTGAACGCTGAGCCGTGTACCCCTAACCTTAGATTAGATCAAAACCCTAACCCGCCTGAAACACAAAAACCTACAGTAGCCCCAAAAGCCCTAATCCATCACCCCTCATCATTAAGGGGCTGCGTCCTGGTGCGCCAGCAAGCACTTTGATGGCTTGCCAGCTGGAAGAGTTTAATGAAATTGGAACGTTTGCTCAATTTGCTTAGACGGTCTGGCTTTGGAAAGCACTTCATTTTGGTCTTTGGATCGGTTGCTGTTTAGCCTCTTGGAGCCAGCTTTGTGTGGCCTTTCAAACCTAGTTTTTGGCACCAGTGCCACCTGCTGCCGTGTGCGCAGATTTACGGGCATTGGATGCTCTCGGGAACGTGCCCGCAGACGGGGACAGAAAAGTAAGTTTCTTGGCTGGTATCCAAGGCAGCATTGAAAATGAGTGGAGACCACGCTGCCATGTTCCACCAGTGCCGACCATTGCTATGTTCTGGCCAAGTAATGACCTACCCCTTGTATCCTCCTTCAGGAAACAAACCTCGTCACCCTAAACCGTCCCTGCAATGAGGTTTGGACATCATCTCTGCGTGCAAGACCCACCCAAAAAACGCACGTTTCTTCAAGACACCAGTCGTTTCAAAAGATTGCCTTCAAGTTCCTTTGGTATTTTGTAGTTACCTACTTCTTGTCACCGCGCATGACTAGTTGACTGATGTAGAACCTTAAATCACGGTCAGTACTAGTGTATTTTGGCCTGTTGGTACTGTGAAGACGCTTGCGCCACAAATCATAGCACTTGGCACACCCATCCATCTTTCATGGTGCCTGGCCAAGATAACCATGCTCATCTTAGCAGAGCATATGGCTCCCCGGAGCGTCCATGTTGGCCAAAGTTCGTGTTATCAGAGCATACGTTCCCCCCATGCATCCACCGTGGCCGAGATAATAGCATGCATGTTAGCGGAGCATCTTTTGGGATGGTTTACTCTTTTGTTTTGCACTTGTCGCATGCTTTTTGAGGAAAACTTGGTGGGTAGTGACGATGTTGCTAGTCAGCCATTTTTCCTGTGGCCATGAGTTCAGGCACTCCACCATGTCTTCTTTTCTCTGTGTAGCAGATAGAGCGACCTCCGACTCGTTTTTGTGTTTTTTGCATTTCACCAATGTCCTTTTGCACTCTTGGCTCTGCAGCTTGCTTTTGCGATGCTTCAGCCTGCCCTCAGGCTAATAGCTAATCCGGCCGGCTTATAGATCCACTTACTAAGACCTATGTCTGATGTCGATTTGGTGAGCGCGAGACACCCATCTTGGTACGGTCGTTTGCTCTCCTGGCGTTCTTGAATGCATTTGTCATTAGTCGCAGCTGCTACAGGGAAAGCGAGTGCAGCAGCATGAGAGCATCTTAGCAACGACAATGCCAATTGCGAAAGTGAGGCTTTGGAAATTCATTCCTTCATCAATCGCGCGGACGTTGCGGAATTCTTACACGCTCCTCTCTACCAGAGGATAGGCTACTGCCGAAGCTTTGTGCAAGGTGCCACGAGCGAGCCTTGCCAATGTCTTCCATCTTGGTGGTTTGCTCGTGTGGTCACTGATTGATGCGCTCCTTACAGATGGAATCTGTCATGTTTGGCTGAGGTCAAGAATGTATGGCAGTAGATGGTCTGGAGATGGATTTCCTTCACCGCTTCATTTTGATGCGGAGGGATCCCCATCCTGAGAATGAAAGCGAGAAGCAGGCAATAGCAGCTGATCCGCGCAAGTCTACCGAGCAGCTGCAACGTAGGCCTTGCAAAAAATCACGGACACCATCAAGGAATGCCGCAATCAAAGGAAGCAAAGAGACCACGAGCTGGAGCCCCAAAAGCTATCAAAAACCTGCTTGTGCCTTGGCTGCGCTCTTCTCTTCCAGCAGGTCCTTTCCACCACTCTTTGTCCCTGGGCAGGCACGGGCAGACCAGCCAAAGCTGATTGTACTGCTTTGCAGAGCTGAAGGTGTATTGGATTGAGTGGTTGGGTCATGCTGGCAGCGTGCAGGACACGTTGTGGTTGTAGTCGGCTTGTGCGCGACATGTGCACTTGCCAGCCAGGACTCACCACAAGACACCTTGGATAGATCACCCAGGAGTTCATTGGGTCGTACTTGGTCTGAGGAATGCAGGTTAGAGTTACAGTTGACTTTTTAGGAACATTGTATCAAGCATCTTGCGCAAGCCCTCAAAGTTGAGATATGGACACTGTGGAAACTCATCTATGCTGAAACCCCGTTCCCCGTTCGACAATTGCAGCGAAAGATGGCAAGAGTCATGCTTTTACGGTTGTTGTAGGTGTTCTGGTTAGCAGCAGATGCCATCAGCTTTCCCTTGCAAAATTACCAGCACTGTGTACACCGTGTACGCTGCATTTGCCATCATGTCGCGATGTTTCCAGATATCGAGGGCTTCCTGTGCACAGCCTGTGCACCGGTGCCATGCTTCTCAAACCTCCGTCTCCGAAGAAAAAAGTATGGATTGCGAGGAGATGCTAGCAGTGTTTTTTCAGGATGCAAAAATTGTACCAAGGTCAGGCTCTGTGAGAAGCGATCATGTTTTAGTCAGGACTTGTGCTCGCGGCTAAGCTCAGAGAACAGTGTTGGTGAATGTTGGTATACACGTGTCAGGCAGTTTGCAAAAAATGACAAGTGGGGGCTTGCAACATCTTACGCGATCAAGAGCTGCAGGCCCGAATAGGCGGCCCGTGTCGCAGAATTACTGAGTATGCAAAGTAGGAATCAGTTATTACCTTGAGATGAGTGTGCACAGGGTTCCTGAGGAACTTTGGTCAGTTTATTCATTGGGTGCGCAATTTGGAAAATATTAAGTTGGAACATGTTACAGCCATGGGTCGTGCGCATGTTGAGATTTGCCAGCTGGGTAGCTCATGCTTTCAGATATGAAGCCGGAGTTTCAAGCACCAAATATCTTCCGCGCCAATAGCCTGGCATACTAAGTCCTCGTCAGAAATGAGCCACCTGCCCACAGGTCGTTTGTTGCGTTGGGAAACTTATTGGAGTATATATATGTATAGATGAACTGCCAAGAGCAAGATGCCTAAAAGTAACAGCTATGACGTCTCAATACCTTGTTACACCAGTTCCAAGTGGCCAGCAATGGCAAGCATTTGCCATGGCAACTTGTTGAGGTTGTTGGAACGTTCCTGACACTCTGGAAATCATGGCCCTCCGCGGCCTGTGACATAGATACTATATTATTATATTATATACAACCCTCAGAAGATGAAAACCTGAACTTGGCATGGCTTTGACACGGCCTCTTGAAGGTAATTACTGGCTGTCATCAACGTCTCAATAGGGAAATATTGCACACATCACTGTACTAGTGACCATGAAAGCATCCAAAGTAGTCCCCAATCAAGCGAACTCCTGGAAATCCTGCAAGGCTTTTCCGCAGTGCTATTTTTCCAACTCTTTTTCCAGGAAAATCAAAAATTCATCCGGCGGCGTCAAAATCCCAATGAAGGAGTTTTATAAGACGGTTCTCATATTGATGGTGGATGTTGCAAAAAGTGGTGCGCGCATCAGTGCGCGTCAGCATTTTGCAGGTAATTTTGCGCGATAGCTCGTGATCACCTTAGTAAGAAGCCTCTGCGCGAAGCTGGCGAGGCGCGTGAGTCAGTAAAATGTCTGCGCGCATCAATAAAACCTGCGGTGTTCACTCATATTCCATTCGTGATAGCTCGCGTCAGTGCAAAACAACAGCAAGAGCGCGCGATGTGCTGGTGCTGGGACCGCGTCAGTAGAACGTATGATTCCGCGACATTGATTGATACGAGAAAAGAGGGTTCAAAGGGTTTAGGCCACGGCTCATATGGGGAGGACATAGCTGTAGTACGCATAATACGTTGTCCGCGAGTAGCTCAGAAATAGAGAATTGGAGGGTATTTCATACACTATACATCACATGAGCTACACAGAGGGTGAGATTATCTCAATGTTCTAGCACATGATCTTCAGGTAGATGTGTAAGTTACACATGATACGAAAGTTATGCTGCGTCAGGCGGGCGCCACTTGAGATGCTGCTTACTGGGTCGTACGGTGCAATACACTTGATCATACATGACGGCGAACTTCCCACTAAGCAAACCATGTATGGATGCAAAAGAGTTAGTACAAATGAAGCCAGCAGCGAGCACAATTTTCCGTAAAAAGCCCAGCACGACCCATATTATGAGCCTGGAGAAAGTATGGAGTATGCAAACTCCGAACTCTGCATTCAGATTCCTTTAATCCTCTATCCGGAGCTTCGAGTTTGCAAACTCCAAACTGTGGATTTGAAGATTTGGAGAAAAGTTTTATGTCAATCTTGAATCCGAGTTTGGAGCTTGCATTCTCCAAACTTTGGATTGAAAGTTTAAGATTCCTGGAACGTTTTCATATGCTTTATATGAGCGACCGCCCTTATGGCCTATGGCCTCGTTATAACATCCCGACATGAATAAGACTCTAGTGAATTAAGCGGTAGCCCCCAGACGCCCCCCCCTCAAAAAAAAGAGATAGATACATCCAAGTGAGCGACCTACAAGAATTTTATCCAACAGCACACAGGTGGGGCATCCAGGCGAGGGATCTTGCAAAACACTATAAGACACCACTAGGTATTAATACCGCAGTGTGTTGAAAACCCTGTGCACCGATAGCAGGCCCAAAGGGAGATGCCCTTGATTTGTTACTTAGCTGCTTAAAGGGAAGTTACGCAGCTGCGCACATGAATATTTAATCCGAAATTCTGAGCTTGGAACATTTGGAGAGGTTGTAAACTCCAAACCGCTGGGACTAAGGCTTGAAGATTCAGAAAACTTTTCCAGGAATCTTTACTTTAATCCTCAATCTTCAATCCAGAGTCTGGAGTTTACGAACTCCAAGCTCAAAACCAATACTAATGTAGTCTGCTGTATCTATATTCCTCATGTAGCAGAGATATATACATATATCTATATGTACATCTGTATGAATATAGGTGGGTTTTGGTGAGTCAGACTAAGGATATATTGTTTTCGAGCGGTACCATATACAGGTACACTGGCACGTGATCAGGATACACCTTGCCACTGCCACGGAGTTCCAGCGCCCTGGTCATGTTTTTCCTGAGAAGGGCTTTCGTTGTACGTGGGAATTGGACTTGTCTAGGTCTCTGCTCCTTCGTGGTGGGACGAATGCCTTGAAAGATCATCTGCCTAGACCTTAGACACGTGCAAACACTGGGAACATTCCAAATACTCGCAGTAGCAACGTTTTCCATGGAACTGCTTCCTTGGCAATGCCATTACCGGGAGCCATGTCGTCATCTAGTAGCTAGCGCACCTCACGCCCTGCGCAGCAAGTGCCTGGTGTGCTTGACCAGCTTGAAGTGAGGTGCGGAAACTACAAGGAGGGCCTGGAGAAGTACAAAGTGCATCTTCAGGCCAGGCTCATGCTCAGACACGTGCACTACAAGCCACATCTGACCTCAGCTTAGAAACCTGCAGGCAAACAGTGGTTGCGTGTGCGTCGTTAGCTGATGCACATCGCACCTTGCTGCTCCCCTATTGCCGGTGCAAAGTCACCTCGCACCAACGCTGAAAGTTCGAAAAAAGCCATGCGAAGCCAACTTGCACCTTTTGCTACATGGCAAGCTTGCAGGTGAAAGTGGCCTTTGCGCGATTGTTAGCAGCGCTGTCCGTACTGCGCATACCGCAGCGCGTGCTCGCATAATCCTGGGCCAGTCAAAACCTTGCAAACAAAAAGAAATTGCTGTAGAGTGGTTGTACATGTCTAGAATGTGGTATTGAAACAGGTGTTTGATTGCTAACCTTGAGTTGCACGATGCTAGAGATGGACAGACTCAGACTCTGAACATGCCTGTAGGATCCAACTGGTTTTCAAATCCTCCCGCACATGTCTCCTGGATCTAGGCAGCTCAGTGGTCTCATCTATTCGCTGTAAACACTACTGAGAGCCTGCAGGCCCACAGATGGATCGAAATCGGTGCAGGTTACGAAGCTGAGCAACCAGTATGCAGCCCAAGCATGGTGAAACCTTCTGCGTTTAAGCTATTCATTTGTGCAAGATTGTGCAGTTGCCTGCTGCCAGTAGGCTGGCTTTTAAAAAGTTCAGATTTTTCGATTGGCAACGGCTTACCATTCTTGAAAAGAAATTGCCATTTTGCCGGGTCTGGCTCTGAATCCTGTGGTCTCTCAGGATATCCCGACATTTCAAGCAATGCGGCCTGCGAAAGGCGCGGCTTTCTGCCGGGCATCAGCGCAAGGCTCATGAACTCTTTGGACAGGCAGAGTTCAAGAGGCAGAAGTCCCTCCTCATAGAAAAGGAGCTGCAGGCTCCCTTCCACAAGAAACCTGTCCAGACTTACCATGGGATCTAGTTACTCTAACATATTCGCTTATGGGTGGCTTGACTTATTTGAATCTTACTTGCGCTATTTCCGACCTAAACTTGCAAAACTTGCGTGGCCATGGTACAAGCAGCATTTTGCTCGGTGGCTGCATGTCTTCCGTCAGCCATGCACTGTCTTCTTACGAACATCATCATGCCTGGTTGTTGCGTCAGACCTCCCTACACCCAGCGAATGGTCATGGTGCAAATACCATCACGTTGGGTGCTGGCATCACACCTCAATGCTCCCTCTGCAGCTGCAGCATTCAGTCCCATCGCGCGGTGATCCGGTCGTTGCATTAGACCTCCCTCCCTCCTCCTCCTCCTCCTCCTCCTCCTCCTGCTCCTGCAGTGTTCGCATGTGTTCGCTACCCTTGTATGGTTGTGTACAAGTAGCATCATCAGGGTGGCGACAGTAAGCCTACCTGCATGTTTGTTCCCTTGCATGGTAATGGTGCGAAGAACATCACGTCTGTTGTTGCATCAGATCTCCCTTTGCTCCTTTAGGTGTTTACCCTTGCACGGTCATGGTGCGAACATGTGCGAACATGTGCGAATAATATCGCGCTTGGTGGTCTCATTGCGTTTCCTTCCTCTTTCGGTTCTGAAGTGCAGAAGACTTGGCTAGCTTTTGTTGGCAGCAGCTTGCACCTGAAGATCGCTCAAGTCTGGAGGCGCACTTCAAGGCAAAACACGAGAGTGAGCGTGCAGAGGCGGTAGACTAGTCCATCTTCAGCGACACACAACTCCGCCTCTTGCGTGCTGGCATGTCAGGGAGGCTACGCAGAGCGGCCTGCCCAGACCTTGGGAGACTGCATTTTTTGTGATTCGAAGAATCTGGCCTGCTACGGGGAAGTGCTAGGCCTGTCAAGCAATTTGTTCAAGGGACCTCGGATTCTATGGAACTCGGAGAAGACAAGGCCACAAGTCCGGCCCCAAGCCCTACGGGCAGAGCCAGGAGTCAGCTGCAAGCTTGGAGCCGAACCGGTCTTGCCGGGACGGGCTTGGTAAGACGGATCAAGTCATTGAAAAAACGCTGAGGTCATCTTCTGCGCCTTTTCTAGCATCAAGCCCGAATCGGAAGTTGTCGCTGCTTGCCTGCTCGGCCTTCAGCTTCAAAAAGGCCCCGCCTGCTTCGCCTGGAAAAGTGTCCACACGTCTGGCGCCAAGTTACGCCGCACATGCTGCTGGAGTCAAAGCATCAACGTGCTAGATGTCAAGTGAGTGCATGGCAGGGTTTGCAGCATCGTATCCAGCCTGGATGCATCCCTGTGTCCACCCTGGTGCCACCAGTGAGAGGCATTGCTTTGGACGGCATCTCAACATTGAAATCCTTTGATCAATTTGGGGAGTGGCATTCCAGGCCAGCCTCACAAGGCTCACGTGCTTTACGGACTCTTCCTAGTCGGGACGCGGCCCCGCCGTCTCCACCAGCTCGGGAGAGTGATCCCCAGGTCTGTAGTACCTTGCTTCGTTCAGAAGTGCTTTACTGCCCGTGAACAGATAGCAGTCGAGACAGAGACGTGCGATCCAAACGGCTGATGCCCAAGACCTGCAGTTTCCTTCCTGTGGACTTGCTGAAATTCCCGGAAGACCGTTGAAGGAGAGCGGCCAGACAAAGCGGATCTGGCTCTCAGTTCCACGTCCTCGCTGATGCTGTCCAAAGCAAGGCAGGACCTTACAGACTCTCACAGAGCTGCAGACAGCAACATGGACTGACTGTGGATTCTCCGATGCACTGAGGCGGTCATCTCCCAAGAAGATGCAAGGATCCATATTCTTTACAGGTATTTGCCTTGGCATCCACGCATGTAGAGCAGCCTGAAGATTTTCCCCTCAAGGCTGAAGATCTGCAAGATGGTTTGCCTTGACAACTCACAAACATAACAACTCCCACACACATGGGAAGGCAAACATTCTCTAGGATATGTGCGTATTGTGCTTTTGCTGCGCTGGCCAAGGTGACATGTAAGATGCTCGGGAATTAGCCTATTCACGGTGGCATCAAAGTCAATGAGAAATGCTTGTGCTAGGCCAGCTCGAGGCTTCTGAGACCGAGGAAGATCGTTTGTTCGGTACGACAAGCCGCGAGGAAGCTCCGCATGATGCTGTTGGATGTAAATGCCATTGCCCACGATGATGACCTTGTTGGACATTTGCAATGTCGCCCTTGCACCTAATGGGTGCAAAGGATATCACACCCCGTGAAAGCACAGCTGAATGCTTCCTTAGATTCAGTTCATTGCGTGACATTTCTGCGGTCGCTGCACGACAACAACATGAACGCCATATCATACTCCTAGATGTGGGGCATGAGGCAGTCATTCGCATGATCCAGAAACCTCTCTGACAGAAACTCACGGGCCTCCCGGCCTCCTGTTGGTCTTTTGCAGTGGACTCTGATGTGCATCAGCTGCCTAGAACTCAGCTGTCAGGTCGGAATTATTTGTTTATCTTGTGGCAATACCGTTACTACGTGGTGTTGCATTTACATGTAGTTTGCCTCCGCTTAATCACAGAAGATCCCCGAGCCGAAGATGCACATACACAATACTGGGCAATCTCTTGTGGCAAAAGTTTGGCGATGTTGCAGGAGGAGCTTTTCCAAGCTGCCGAAGCGGAGGCTGCTGCATTGAAAGCCAGCTGGGAGAGAGGCCAGCATGCTGGATTCACGGACAGCCTGTTAGCACGAACGGTTAAAAAGGCCGGCAGCATCGTGATCCGCTGGTGCCTCAAGCATCGCTTAGCGGCTTGGGCAGTAGATGGCAGCGGGTGAGTGCACTGAGGCCGGATATGATTGAGCGTTTGGGAGACCTTATGGCGCTTTTGGGACCAAGGTGCCATACAAACATGTTCAGGATGCTTATCAGCCGCCACATGAGCAACAGTCAAGAATTACTCTGTTATAAAGAGATATGTCAGTACCGGACAGGAAGCAAGAACCCTGTAAAGCAACGGGGACATTGAAAAGCGACACCCCAGGATTTTCAGACGAAAGCCCTGTAAAGCAATGGGAACATTAAAGCGGCACCCCGAAATCCACACGATTCAGGCTCAGAACAGAAAACCTTGTAAAGTGATAGGAACATGGAAAAGCGACACCCCCAATTTCTCGTCCATTGATTGCCGGATGTAAGGAGTTTTGACCGTCACTGATATGAACCCCCCCCACGTCAGATTCTTTTCAAGGGGAATTGCCATGGATCCACACTGATGATTGAGGATGATCGAAGTCACTGTTAAAGGACGCACAGGCTTGAATTACTGACTGCGGGAGAAGAGCATGGGTGCAATTTTGGTTTCGTTCCGGCCTATAATGGGCTGCGAGAACAGTTGTGGGCCTCCAAGATTAGAAGGAACCTTCAAGTACGGCACGGCCATTTCAGGGGAAGACCAGGGGTTTTTGTTAGCGTTTACGGCTTCTTGTCAGTTCTGAAACCCTCTAGCAACCCATGGCAAACCGATGATCGTGACTATGATGATGGCAGGCGGGGATGTAGGACGAGGACCATACCATGCGATTTGTTGGGGGCTGTCAACACGGGACACCGCACTTCCTGAAGTATGGAAATCTACAAATTTATCCTTTCATGCCTTGAGAAAACACTGCTGCGGAAACCGTTACATATTCAATCTTTACTACTCGTTTTGTGTACACGCACAATTCTTTTTCTCCACCTGCTGAACCTTAAGGTCCTCACAGGCTGTGAGCTGTACCCTGGGTTCCTCCCAGGGTTGCTTTGGGCACATATTCATATTATGCATTTATGCATCACTGTTCACGGGTCTTAAGAGGTAGGTTGTCCCGGACAGGGCGATGGCTTCGGCATACCCGGACAGTTTTCTGTTAGATGCGGTCAACCTAATGCCTACAGTCGCATACCTGCGCACTCATACAGGGAGGGTTGGGTCGGGTGGAAGCTAGTGCTTAACGAAACATGTGCACCCAAGTCTGCCAAACTCTAAACGTGATCATCAAACTTCACAGCTTAGTCTTCGCTGACATTCGTTCACTGCATGGCTTTCTCGCTCAAAGGCCCAAAGGCACACGGCAAAAGACTCTCTGAAGGGTATCTCTTCACTGGCAGTGAGGAAGCTTCTATCCTTATAACGTTTGCTGCGAATGCAGCTTTGGGCAACCCATTTAACCTCTAGCCCTTAAGCTCCTCCTCAAACTTGAGGATTTTTGTCAGTCCAGATCCCAGTTTTCCAGATCTGAAGAAGAAGATACGGGAGGAACCCGAAATCCGTGCCAATCCAGAGACGTGTTTGAGCCGAAAGCCATGTCTGACAGTCGCAAAAGGGTTGAGGCCATGTTGCTCGTGTTGGTGGCGAACCTCCAGAACCCGGCGTTTTTCGAAACAAAGTGAGCTACCCATTGATAGCAACCAAAGTTAGACATTGGCACTATGCCCGCGGCCCTCTTAGTGCTTTTATGTGCCGCCTTAAAGACCTGAACTGGAAAACCTCTGATTTGAAAACGTGGTATGAAAACCATGGCAACCCGCATGCTGTTGATGTTGGTAGGCCACTTGCACAATCACCATTAGGTTACCTCTTAGAGCAGTCCCAGGAAGAGAAGCTGTGGTTACACGCTTCGCGTCATGTTGGTGGCAAAGGTTGGGAGCATGGTGCCGACCTCTCTGTAGCCATCAAGCATTTGGAGATGCTCGCCAGTTTTACACAGAAACGTGCCCTCTAGCCCTGGTACAGGGAAGCATCAAACAGTGTTGTTGGCATCACGCCATCACACCGTCCCCATGAACGCACATCAAAGAGCTAACTAAGAAAAAGTATGAGAGTCACGCTGAAGTAACCGGCATTTGGGCTCTCGATCAACGTCGTGAGGATCCAAGATAACAATATGGAACAGACCACGAAAGGAAACGTGGGGGGAATTCAGTTGCGACTCCCAGATTACCGTTAGAACGCTCAGGCGCCTTATAAACACTCGCAACCTGGAGACTAAAACCCCACATGCTGACCTGTGGCTTATTGTACAGGCTCACCTTGTCACTCGCAGTGTGTTTCCAGTGTGGGTAAACTCCCATCTTGACCTAGAAGCTTTCCAGACCAAGTTTAGCCCAGATTTGGATTGGGCACATTTGTAAAATGATCATGCTGAACAGGAATATTTGCTCACGGTTGCTGGTAGGGCAGTTGCGGCCCTTGCAAGTACGAAGCCTGATGCCCATGCGCATGTTAGTTTTGACCTTGACGGTCCTGAGGATGTGCAAAATCATGCTCAGCTGCAGTTTCCCCGCCTACGTGGTGGAGCCCTCATGCCTTGTTCACCCTGCCCCCTTAGGTCCCCTAAGCCCTTTAGGGTCCCTTGGGTTTTCTGTTGTTGCGGGTTTCCCCGTAGACCCTTGACCTTTCCTCGTGTGGTTACTGCCAGCATTTGCCCATGTTGCCGCCCACCGCCTTGGCCCTCTGACCAGGCTATGCGGTGAGCTCGTGCTCACTTGCTATCGTTGAGGCTTACCCTCAATGGCCAATAACAAATGATCATGCTGACCGTTGCGCTGGCAACGTCACACACTGGTTAAGCCTGCGGCCTGATGTGCGAACCTATGCTGATATCAATGCCTGGATCGACCACCGCGCATTATGCATCCAGAAGCACCTCATCCCACGCGTCCAGGGCATTTTAAAAGCTTATGGAACCCAGCGGGCTAAGCCACTATTGTAGGACCTAAAGCGCCCACCAAAATGGAGTTTTTAGAGCATCTTCGTACGACACATCACTGGCACTCCTGGCAACATACCTGTCGCCAAGCAAACTGTACAGTGTGCGGTTTGAGGCTCACAACTTCGTTATCCCCCACTAGACTGAGAGAGTTAGCTGCCCGAGCTTGGCCATGACGATGATGGACCTTATCCCCCTCGCGGTCCATTACACTCACTCGTTCAACTTTGAGGGAGCTCAGGGGGGATGGCGTTGTAAGTGCAAGCTAAGCCTCAACATGCACTCTCGCGAAGCGGCTTGGAACCGCGCAGCGAAGGGATGTAAGGCTTTTCGCTAGGATGCTTTCTTTTGGCTTTGCCATGTTCTCACTCAAAAAAGAGACTATCCCCCTTCAAATGCCCTTCATGACGTGGGTGGAGGTACCGCCCTCAATCAGGAATCCATGCCATGAACTGATGCTACCCCTCCCATTTCATTAAAGAAACTTACCGATGGCCTCCCCTCCCAGTTTATCAAAAAAATGTGTCTTTTGAAACATGGAGGGGGGGGGCGCTACCCTCACTGTCACACTTAATGGATGGTATCCTCACTGGGTCGCTATGGCTTGATTGGCTTGATTGGCTTGATGCTCTTTAGGCAAGGAAGATCAAGGAAGTACAGTCATAAATTGACAATAAAGGCTGAAAGAAGAAGAAGACAAGAAGCATGCCCACAAACAACATCATACAGTGAGCAATTGCCCCAACCTGCTCACACACCTACTACTCCTTTACAAAGTATGGCCTCTCAGGACGCAGCCACGGGGATGTGTTACCAAGCCCTGACGCAAGGGAGGTGTAGAGTCAAAAGCTGAGGCATGCCGTATGATGTTGTTTGTGGGCATGCTTGCTGTCTTCTTCTTTCAGACATTATCTTCAATTTATGATTGTACTTCCTTGATCTTTCTTGTGTAAAGAGCTGCCAAGCCATCCTTCACATGTGTAAAATGGTATGTATATCTATATATGTATATATACAGGTATTGTCGTGTCCCCTACCCATTTGTTCCGATGGCACCCTCCCTGTTTGAAGGTGCTTATGAGTTGACCCCCTGCCCGCTTCACAAATGAGTTCTGACTTAGTAAGGGCAATGATGTCAACACCCTGCCCCCATTTTAGAACATGCCTGGGACACGACGCTGTCAGAACTTGAAGGGCGGGGGGGCAGATCGATGCAACGTTATCTTGCTGAGAAGCTGATGCCTGTTCTATGCCCTGCCAGGGGCTGCGTCTGGACCGTGCTATGATGTGGAAAGGTTTTCTTGAAAGAGATCAGGGTTCACTTGGATCCGGGCCGAGCAATCAGAAAGGAGTAGTCTTCAACTTCTTGGGGAAATCAGAGATTGCTCTGGGAACCTCGGCCAAGTTGACAGCAAATTTCCAGCATGAGTTTTAGATCCCTTTTTTTCGTGGGCACGATTGACAGCTACAAATTAACAGGTTTAACAGGCTTTGTCGTGAAGCCATACCCTCCACAACACACACACGCACACAAACATGGTAAGATAGAACTAAGAGTCAATAACAAAGAGCCTTCAACATGCGGAGCATGTGGGTTCATTTCGCTAGCAGAAACTCAGGCCCACAGCAACCCATTTTGCATGATAGGCAGCACGCCATGAAACATGCAAGTGCTCACTCCGCATAATACACAGAGCAATGTCACAACGCTTCCCATAATGCTCGTGCTGGCAACCGGCTGCCTCGGACACGAGGTGGTGAAGTGACGCCACCACTTCAACTGCCGCCCACCCATGCTAGTACCACAACTACAGCTACCATCGGGGGATGGAAGAAGCTGTATGGGTAGAACCTGATGCCATGTTCCGTAGGTTATAGCTAGGCTATGAGTATCGAGTGAGACACAGAGACAGCGTGCCCTTTGTTCGAACGTGGCTGTCCGGTTTTGCGCTAGTCCCATGTTTTGCCAGCCAGAGCTGCAAATCGTCGGTGCCTCTATTTCAACTTCCAAAGGATCCCTCTGGAATCGACAGCAAAACTCCATGAAGTCATCATACATGACATCATGAATGCATTGTGGCAGGAACAACCGACTGAGAAACGGTTGGTTGCATTTCATCTAAGAGCTTGAGAGGTAAACATTTGATTACGCAAGTCCGTCAGGTATCGCACATTGCCCCGGGAAGCCGTCTGGGAAAAGGCTGTCGCATGGGCCTTGGCAGGGGTCAAGCGGCCGGTGGCCGTGGCATTCAAACCATGAAAGATTTACACAATCTTGAGGCAGGAAGCTCAACGGCGATGCAAAGGCGTGAGAAGCGTCTTGGCCGTGTAGATCTCAGAGGTTGGGAACCAAGAGTCGCAAACGGTGCGCTTGTCTGTGAGAATGTGGAAGCCCGAAGACATGTCAAGCGATTTGCAGGGCTCTGAGGCTGTTGCAAGTTGCATGGCTGTACGATTTTCACGCCTGCAATGCTTGATGCCGATTCGTGTGGGGTGGCGAAGCTTTGCCGAAATTATGCAGCATCCCCTGATTCGTTTGGGGGCCGTTGGTTGTACGAAGTTTCGCTGCCAACAAATATTCGTAGAATTTTCAGATAGGCAAAAAATGCTTTCAAAACCATGACAGGAAGTAGTTTGGGGCCCTAATCTTAAAAGTAAAACTTTCAAGACCTCAAGTCTCCGGATTTTCCGGTTTCAGGCCAGGTTCAAACTGTCGATTTCTTACTGGACCGCTTGTCCGAGGAGGCCCAGCAATCATTTTTGTAAGGGAGAAAGTAGTCCAGCAGCTGCCCAGAGCCTGAACAAATACGAATGTTTTGGGGGGCCTCAATTACTGTATCCGTCAAATCCAGGACCCTGAAAATACCAGAAAGCAAAAAGGCCTTTACTTTTGAAGGTTCAGCATTTCAAAGCAAGGCTTCCATGCCCTTTTGAAATACTCTGAAAAGCCTTTCTGAAACCTTTCTACAAAACACTTCTCAAAGAATTCTGAAACCTAGCCGAAGTCGAAATGACTCTGAACTCCTGCAACCTTACTGAATTTTGTTAGGGGAACTTCTACTACTGACCTGGCACCCTGCTCCAATGTACTAATAACTCTAATGTGCTAGAGTTCTTGATGCTAGGTCCCTGATGTCCCTGCTAGCTGCTAGGTTAAGAGTAGAAGACCCAAGCAGAATCTTTGATCCTGATGTGCTAGCAGAAGTACTTGCACCGTTCTGTTTTACATGTTGGTGTCGGTTGCGTGGTACCGAATTGCGCAGCTGCATCACGCCAGACATCAACGATCTTGTAGCGCACAGTTTTGTTTCGACTTATGTCAAATAGGATCAAATAGGTTTCAAGTGGCACGTTGCGTGTGTTTCTGTAAGTGCTAGACCTTGCGGGTTCCGGCAATGTCAAGCCGCAGCAGTGGCCTCCCTGAGCTCCAACCTAGTCAACCTTATTCAATACTGCTAACCAGAGAATCTCTCTCAGCTTGTATGTAGTGAGTAAGACATACTAAGAATTCATTGTAATCCAGGTCCCTATAGCGGGGTTCCTGTCATAAAGCGGATCCCTTCATATCTGTTTTCCATCTTGAGAACAGCACTTTAGGCCAAGTTCCAGATGCCGTCTTTGTCATGGATAGCTTCAACACAAGCAATAGATAATCTTGCTCTCTAAGCATCCGCCATAGCGTGTTCTACATCATAAAGATGCAAATTATTGAGGTAGCATGATTTCTGGCACGAGAATCCGTTGTGGCTGAAGCGCCTGAATCCCTGGATGCCTCACATCAAGAAAAACTGGAGGGAAACAGCAGAAAAAACACAAGCTGACATGCCGGTTCAGTGGTCGCTTAAATCTTCAGGCAACACAAGGATCGAAGGACGCCTTTCGGGGCCACTTAAACTAAAGGAGCAAGCAATTCTGCCTTAGTTCGAGTAGGCACATCCGTCAATGGCTTGTTCGCTTCACTATTACGCGAGGATTTAGTTCTGACGAGCAAGCGGACAGTCTTCAAAGTGCGTCTTCAAATCTCAGAAGATGGATCCCTCAGAACGGTGATTCGGGCTACCACTTTGTTCCTGCATTTCTGGGCTAAGCTGCGGCAGCTGCACTTGGAAATCGAAGTCGAGGCCGGCCACCAAGAAGATCTGCAAGAGAGTGGCAATTTCTTCTTGCTGCTAGACTGAGAGGCCAAACCAAAGCAAGGCGGACATGGGGATGAACTGCTCATAGCATCATGCCTGAGCATGCTGATGCATTGTATTTGCAGGCCTCCAAGTCCAGAACGTTTGCAGGACTACGATCCGGACGGCAGCGCCAGGTCAAACGTTGACATACGGTGACAAAATGGTTTTACTGTCATTTGATTTATTTGGTTTGAGCTGTTTGTTCAGGGCAGCATGGCTGCGCGCTCGTGATCGTGAGCAAGAGGGCAAGGTGACACCAGCAAAAGAAAAGATGTTTTGTGCATGCGAGTACAGCCGTTTTTCTGCAGGCTCTGGTATCACGGATTAAGTCGGTGGAAAGCTCAGCTGACACTTGAAGCCACACTGAGATGAATGCTGCAGAAAATTATTTGGGCAGCCAACGGTATTTGTGTGGTGTTGTTTGTGCGCACTTTGTTCGCTTGACTTTGCCCAACCAGGTTTCAACACTCCCGTCAATGCAGCTTCCATCGTTCGGCCTGTGAGAGAGCACGCTGGGCGCGCTGAGTAATCAGATGGTAACTCCTATCAAAGGTCACAGTTCTTTTCTTGCATCTCATGCGTTGTGCATGGTGACTCGGCAACGCGCTACCAAATGGTACGGGTGGTTGCTTTCGTGTCCGACCACACTAGAAACAAAGTTTCGCGTTGTGGATCTGGCGCCGCTCCAAAGGTTGTGCTATTCGTGTGGGTGCGAGCTTCGATGAAAGATCAGTTGCTCAGTGTTCTGCATGTCGACTGCCTCTACTCCACTGATGACTAGGCCATTGAGACAATTGCCCGGAGATCTTGCAGGATCTCTGAGATAGCTTCTTTAAACCTCGCGGACCTTCTGCGCATGAGCTTGCATCTTTGGATCTAGCGCCAATGACCGTTGGCAAGCGTCAGCTCGAAACTGGTTTCTTGCGGAGTCTGAGATTCACAACATTCACTTGTGTTTCAGTTTGTGCAAGCATGTGCAAGCCTTTTCGGGCAACGTAACGATTCACAGTACATTTGCCCTCCCCTTCAGGCTCCAAAGTAAAGTGATATAAGCCTGGTCAACACACCTAGATTCACCTAGTTTGCACAGAGGCGCTCTTGCTAAGCAAGGGCTCCCGTGCAGATGTGCGCCAAGCTTGGAGTTTAAAATGCCAAGCTGATGGATAGTCATAGGCCATGAGACATGAGAGGTTTCAAGAGAGTGAACAGCGAGAAGCCCAGGTTCACTTGGATGGGCCGGCCAGTGCAAACAGGCCTGGCAAAACAGCACATGAGGTGCCTTGTGGTCAACGAGCTTTCCGCAAGATCTGCGCAACATGCATCTGTGCCTGCCGTTAATGGATGTGGAGAGCAGGCTTGCCAGAGCAGATATTCGCTCAAATTGAAGCTGGCAGCATCTTCTAGACAATATTTTCTCTTCCAAGGGCTTCTTTACTTCCGCGGCTGCTGCCTTTACTGTGATCAGCTTTGGCGGCCATTTCATTAATTTCTGCACCCTTCCAGCGCCGTGCTGGAAGAAAAAGCCAAAGTCATCTAGCATGTTGGAAGGTCCACCAGATGAGGCTGCATCTGAGAAGGCTTGTCTTGCAGCATTGCAAAGTGCATAAGTTTTGCAGAGCTTTGGACTGGAGAGTGTGATTTTGCCACAAGCCTGTCAGCCTGGACCAGAAGAGTATGGACGCAAGTTGTGCCAGGGTGCTCCTGCCACATCCACGGACCCGGTCAGCATGCACCTCCAGGGCCGCCAGGATGGAAATTGCTCTGAGCGGTTGAATTTGCTTGAAGGGCTTGCCATTTGGGCTGGCATAAAGACTCTGAGACCATGTCTAAGCCGGCTCAGGAGTTGGACGTTGAGCGGAGCAGGCTGAGATTTTTCAGCATGCTTGGAGCTGCACTCCGATAGCTGGCAAGGACGCAATGCATTCAATAGGTAAGCAGCAACATTGGCAGGCTGCTCTCACCCTATGACATCTTCTTCTCGCAAAACCACATCCGTCCAGAATTTCAGGTGCCCCCACAGCTGGAACTTGCTTGCAAGAGGCTGTGGGGTTTCACCTCGCGTGTCCGCAGTCAGGACGGTCGCAGCATCGATTCAGCTGTGGAGTTCATAGGCGCGTACAGTCATCATTGAAGCGGCTCTGTCTACATTAGGATCGCTTCCTGATGCTTAGTTTGCTTCATTGTATTCACAACCCAGCTCTGATTTGTAACAACAAGATGAAGTATGGGGAAGCCAAAGAACCAGGCCAGTCAGCCAGTCGAGTTTAGGTACATGTGGGATGCGACGGCCGCGAGCTGCAAGCATGCAGGGTGGTAAAAAGGATTGGTTGCAACGCGGCATTTGAACTCACTCCAGCATTCCGCATGACACTCATGCGTTGTCTTTTTGAAAGCGCCACGCACGCCTTGTTATCGGCGTTCAGAAAGGCCAGAGCTCTGAAGCCAGAAAAGCAACACCTGAGCCGCGGCCCCTTCCCCTGCCGTACTACTCACCAGCAGCTGGCGACACAAACTTTGCGTTTAACACCCGAAATCTAGATGGGACTGTTGTCGCGGAAGGTCTGCGGAGGGGATGGCTTGGCGGAAGGCTCAAGCTCCTCCTACAACAGAACGCGGAGCACACCCTCTCAGCGACACAAGCCTGAAATCACTTTCAAAAGAGTTGTAGCCCCTGTGGCTTCAAATACCACCAGCCACAGACCGGTTCGGAAATTGAGGTATTAGGCTTGCCAGTGGGGACTTCGCGGAAGCTCGACGGAAGATTAAAGGCCGGAGACATTTGAATATGAATAAGCAACACTGCTCACCTGTGACCACCTCAACGATGTAGTTCTGTCGGCCTCTCGTTCAAAGCTTCAGAGCACAGGCGGGTGCCTTCCAGTGTCGCAACAACAGTTCGCAAGCATCGTGCACTCCAAATGCTTCGCGCCTTCATCAGCCTTGGGGTACTTAATTTGAGTTGTTTTACGTTGCTTTGCAGCTCACTGGTTTTAGGCAAAGCGATCCAAACAAAAGCAGACATGTTGGGCAGAGGCAGCAATGTTTTCAGCAGGATCTCGCAGGTTTGCTCCACACGACGCAAAGGAGACGATGATAGTACAGACTTTCAACCATGCTGGCCTGATCAATCTTGGCAAGGATCTTGGCGTTCCACAGAAGACCGACTGGTGGCCAAGCCAGCAATGGTTATCCGCAGCTGCTTGTAGCGTGGTGGCGTAGTGCCGTGTACAAAACTGGACCTTATGTTTGGTTTGCTATGACATTTCCGGGTTGGGTACACGATGGTAGCTGATCTGATGCAGACTCAAACCAGAGGTAAGAAGCATCCACGTCGGTGTTCTTGTTCTTGTGCGCTGGTTTGCGTAGTCCCTGAATACTTGCTGCAAGTCCACGGGCAGAACGACGGACCCTCCCTGTAGGAATGATACTCGTACCGAAGCAGTTCTCCTTCTACACTAGTGTGCCCAATGGATGACCAGCTTGTACGCTCGACACCTTCACCCCCGTGCCCGCTGTCGATACGTTTGGAGCAGAAATTCATTGCCCAACGCCCCAGGTGTTCCCCCCCAAGCAAACATGACATGCCGTCCGATCAGAGTGCCGTGCTCTCCAGAATCATTTATGGACTAACCGTCAGTGTTCATAGGCCCCGCACCTGGAAACTATGTGCTTTCCGCGCATCTGCAACTTCCAGTGGGTTCGTGGACTGCCGCGAGTTCTGAAAGCCAAATCAATTAGGACTCTAGCAGTGAGTCATCCAATGCCAGGTTGCTGCTGCCACCTTTTCCACCGATAGAAGTAATCCAATGGAGGATAAAACTTCGCGAGGCTGGCTTCATCTTGCGCAAGGTTGCGCTGCACAGCTTCCACCTGTCAGGAGGATGGGTGCCAAGTTGTTGATGACAACGGCAACGAGCTCTATGGGGATAGAGAATGGTCTGCGCCTTCCGCGTAGCGTGCTTGCTATCTGCCGAAGCAAGAGTAGAGCCGTCCGCAGAGAGTACTGAGGTACAGTTTGGACAACCGACGCTTGTACTGCCTGCAGAAAGCAGCTGCGGCGCTCTATCCCAAACAGGTCATCCCAGCCCAGGTTTGGAATTCAAAATTCACGCCACATCCATAGGTCCATCATGATTTTTCCGCCCTTCCCTTGCTCGAAGGTCCTTGTCCTCGTGAGCATTGTTCACCAGGAAGAAGGAACCTGTCGCGAGGCATGGTTGCACCAGCCATCTCCGGCGGCTGACATGTGTCACAGCGTTCCAGAATTTGAGCTATTGCCAGTTCCGCAAATTTCGTTCTGTGGACCGTGGTCGGAGCATCCGTCTGGGCCATCGGGAGACATGGCTGAAGCGGATTTGCGCAGCTGTCTGTCATCGCCATAGAACGCCTCGCAGGACTCACCGAACTTACCTCGGTGGTGCTTGCGACTAGAGGTGCTGCGAGCTTTGGCTCCGCACACCGCCCAGGCGGTGCAGGTGCAGTTTTTTTCAACACAGGTCGGACTCGAGGAAGAAGTGCTTCCAGCTGGTTCTACGTTGCCCAGGCGCGGTATCTGGAAATTTTGCTTAGTTGGCCTCTGCATTGATGAAGGAGGTATGCGCATAGGCCCAACATTCATACCGGCCAGGCTTAGCAGACCGCGACGTCCTGATCGTGATCGTCAAGGAAACCGCTTGACAACTTCAAGAGAAGAGCCATAGCTTTATGGACTCTTGTTCAAGTGATGCAGCTTCTGCCATTTTTGTCCGTATCGTGATGCACAGGGTGGATTCGGCGTGCACGACAGAAAGACTCCAGGAAAGCTGGCCAGATACTTCTGCATGCCTCTGCAAGCCCTGCTCCTGTGAGCCGTCTGTTTCAGGGAACAGCCAGATGACAGCACGGGGCCGCCTTGGGGCAGCCACTTGGCAAATGCCTCCCTGTTTGTGCCTCTGTCATGATGGACTTCATTCATGGGTATGGCAGGCGAGAGATTGTCGCAGGGGGAACAGTGATTGCAGCAGGTACTGGTCTATGCCTCTATGCGCCTGTTATTTGCAATGTGGCATCACTACAATTACAGATGAGCGAAGGTTCCGTGTTGTGTTGCGTTGTTCATGCATTCTTTACATGGATTGGGCCTGCCTCGCGCAGGCAATCTGTCCCTCTGTGGCCACTGTGAGTGCTGCGATACTGCAATCGCTGACATTCACCAAAGACTACACAGACAAACGTGCCGTGCTGTGTTTGATTCCGCCGTGCTATCACAACTTGACGATACCTTGCAACCGCTCCAGTCTGTTATCAGCTTACAGGCCTCTTTGCTGGGGCCAGCAGGCTCAAAGCGGTCAGGGAGTACTGCCTCTCTACACCTTTTGGTGCCATGTCAGCCTTCACTTTCGAGGTGGAGCACTGCAGTAGCAGGTCGAGATCAAACAGGGTTTCTGATAGATTGTTGGCAGTCGGGGTGTAGGAACAACGGTTCTACATGTCTTGGAGGACATTGCACACCTTAACAGAGGGTCGGAGAATGTCTGGAAAGGACTCAAAAGAACTGTTTCGCATATTATATGATCGTGCCAAGAAAGTAATGTTCCACTTTCGAGCTTCTGACAGGATCAGCCCTTCATAGGGCTTTAGACACGCCACAATAGTTGTCTTGGGTCTATGAAGGAGAAGTTTGGGGTGGCACTCTTGTGAGCTCAAGCCTGAAATTGAAAAGATGAAGCGTGGACTGTGTAGTCTGTCTGCGACCACCCTATCTCAGTGTGGTCAGTCATATACCACGCATGCAGTCACATGCAGCGTATTTTAGGAATTGCCTGTGAGACCCTCGTGCTGGCTGTGGTGCTTTCGCGAGGTGGGATATGCAAAGAGAGCGCGTACCACCTGCAGGATGTGCCAAAGCCAGATCGCGGTGCATTCAGTTTTGGGTCGGAACATGGCAAAATGTGGGCCCTTGGAGTAGACTTTGAAAGTAGAACGCTGCGGAAACTGACTTTAAGAAAGGTCCCCAAAATTTCCTTCCATGCTAGCAGATTGACTGCAGATTGACCATCACTTCTTGAGTTTGCCCTGCCGAGCAGAGAACCTTTGCACAACTTGGCGTAGCAGTAAGAAACGTTCTCAAAGAGTTAGTTGGCAGATGTCAGTGGAGCAAATACTGTAGGAGAAGCATAGCCTCCGAATTTGCATCAAGATGAGCCGGGGCACAGGCTCAAGGGACACCTTGCAGTGTTGATTTGTGATTGGGGTGTATAACAGAACATACCCTCCCCTAAAGTAACATGCATCCCATCGAATCTCCATGGGATCGTCGTTTGTCAAGAGCACCATGCTAGCATGCAGTTTGGATTTCGAAGGGGGGCTTCCAAGCGCAACAAATCGCATGCGTTGGAAGAGATGAAGTGGCAGCATGCAGGCTTGAATGCCCATGTGGGGCTTTCCAAAAAATGGGGGTAATTTATTGGGGGTTCCCATAACAAGGATGATGATATAATAGGCTCTATGTATTGGGGCCCCGCCCATTAAGGGAAAGTACCATCTGTCTTGAATGCGAAAGTTGGATGGATAGTTCTTATGGGAAGTTCTTGGATTACAGGGCATCCTGCGGCCCTCAAAGCCAAAGTGTATGTTAGCACAGCTAGGACTTCTCTCACAACATGGTTGCATTGGTGCGGTGGGTGGGTCATTTGATTCGGGGCTCACCCTAAACCCTAAATCCTAAACGCCTGTGCATTCCGAGGGACCGTAAAGGCAGTCAGAAAAAGGCCCGACAAAAAAAACAAAAAATAACCTAAACCCTGAACCACGTCTTTTTCAAGACCTGCCCTTCTTAGTTAGTTTAAATTTGTCTTCAAAGTCATCATGCCCCACACAAAACAACCTGAACAAACATCAGGTGTTTGGTAGGTAGGAAGGACATAAGTTACGTAGAACCAAGTAATATTAACGCTAGCGAAACACATGTAGACAAGTAGCAATGTGTGTTTGCTATCGCGATAGAAGGTAGATGCATAATGACGAGTGTTTTTTATCGCAATAAAAAGCACT